GTGTGAGGTTAAATGAACAAAGGAGGACATGTGATACAGGTGTATGAGATTAGGGTGTGGCAGTGGTGATTAGAGGGAATCTCAGGAAGTGAAGTTGTCTGAAATGAGACAGGAAGTTAGTGTACAAAATAAAACAGGAAGTTTAAAAATGAAACAAGATCAAATGCACAATGGTGGGGACATTAACCAGCAGAGCTGTCCTTGACAAGTGGTTTCTGATAATTCCTTCAGGGAAGTCCTTTTAACAAACGTATGTTTCTCTGCTTTTCGTGTTTTGTTATAGGAAACTATCTGGACATCCTGGCCATCTCTTGTGACAGTTTTGATGAAGAAACCAATCAGCTGATTGGCAGAGCTCAAGGCAGGAAGAGCCACATTGAGAACCTGTACAAGATCTGCAGCTGGTGCCAGCAGTACAAAGTGGCCTTTAAAATCAACTCCGTCATCAACACCTTCAACGTCCACGAGGACATGACGGAGCACATCAACCAGCTCAACCCTGTCCGCTGGAAGGTGTGGGTGAACACGGAAACACGTGTGCTCAGGCGTCGGAGGGAACGATGCTCATCGTCTGACCACTCTGATCTTTAGGTGTTCCAGTGTCTGCTGATTGATGGGGAGAACGCAGGAGAGGCCGCTCTGAGGGAGGCGGAGAGGTTCGTCATAGAGGAGCAGCAGTTTCAGGAGTTTCTGGACAGACACAGCGGCGTCCCCTGCCTTGTTCCTGAGTCGAATGAAAAGGTACGAGACTGGAAACAACAGGGAGATATTTGTCTCTGTCGTCTCGAAAACACGTCGTGTTTAATTAAATTGTTGAAAACAWTTTTTAACTCTTTTTGTTCTTGAAACATGTGTTTTTCTCTTACATTTAGTTCTTACATTGGGTTTCCAGAAATATATCTTTTCACTTGTAAACTCACTCAACATGTTGCTGAAATCTGGTCTTTTTTTTTTTCAAAATATGTGTTTCACACTATGTTTATAATCAGAGAATCAAAGTTTTAAGTCTCTGACTTTCTTACAAAAAAAAAAACTTTTAGAGCATTTTTTTAATGTCTTTTTTTTTTTTTTTGATGGGGAACTTAAAGGCATCTATCTAGCTAGGATCATCTTCAGCTACAAAATAAAAGTTTATTTGTTTTGTTTTCAAACTGCATTTCAATTGTTTGATTGATCTGCATCTGTTTTCCACAGATGAGGAACTCCTACCTCATTCTGGATGAGTATGTAAGTAATTTGTTTTTACAAGTTAGTTTCCTTCACGTTAAAACATTTGGAAAATTAACTTCCAGACTATTTTTTCCCCCAACAGATGCGTTTCCTGGACTGTCGAGAGGGAAGGAAAGACCCGTCCAGATCCATCCTGGATGTGGGTGTGAAGGAAGCCATCCTCTTCAGCGGCTTTGATGAAAAGATGTTTCTGAAGAGAGGAGGGAAATATGTGTGGAGCAAAGCGGACATGAAGCTGGAGTGGTGAAATTCGGCAGCTTTGCACTGAAAACTTGCACAGTATAAATGTAAATATTTATGTGTTCTGATGTATTTGCTGCTTGTAAATGCTGAAAAATATTAATAAATGTGTTATTTAATTACATTATTCAAGAGTGAAGTACAGCTTGAGTGTTGTTTTTTTATTATTTACACTTTGTTTAAATTTTGTTGTATAAAAAACTTATTTGAGTATTATTTTTGTCTGCTGTTCAGATAAACCTGTGATCTTCAGCACCTTTTAATTTGTAATGCTTCCGACTGGGAATTAAAGCTATCGGCCAAAATATGCTTAGACAATTAGTCTGCAAGTGTGTTTTAGAAGCTATTTGTATTTGCATACAAACCCTGCTGTGTTTCATTTTTAATTTTTACAGTTTTTAAAAAAAATTGCTTCTGTTTTGTTGTATTTTATTTACTTCATAATGTTTAATTACTCTATGGAGAGCCGTTTTCCCCCCAAAATACAATAAATAAATAAATAAATAAATAAATAAATAAATAAATAAATAAATAAATAAATAAATAAATAAATAAATAATACACCTTTTGGCCAGCAGGGGGCGCTCTGGCCGTGCGGAAGCTGAACGTGCGCTGCTGACTGCCTCAGAGGGGCAGCGCAGGACAACAGACTGGAGGCTCCTTTGTTTATTTATTTATTTCGACAAATGGCGTCTCTCCAGAGAGAAGCAGCTGATTTCCCCCAGAGAACGACAGCGGGAACGGAGGAGAGGTAAACACACCGCCTCCGCATTTCCCTGCAACGAGATACTCAGTTTCTGTACAATCTTTTTTATTTGTTTGTTTGTTTGTTTTTTTTTTTTTTTTTTTTTTTTTTTTTTTTTTTTTTTTTTTTTTTTTTTTTTTTTTTTTTTTTTTTTTTTGCGGCATTTGCGTCGCTTTCTGGCAGCCGGACGCTGCGCACACTGCTCGGGATGTTTGCGGGCGGACCGCTGCTGTAAAAACACACAGACTGTCAAAGAGAAAGCGCCGAGAAAGAGGAGGAGGAAAGGGGGGAGTCAGCTGCAGTTTTTTTGCTTCCCGCTGGTCAGCTTATTTATCGACGCTTCACCGGACCGGGGCCACAGGCACGTCGGCGACAGAAGCGGGTCAAATGTTTCCCCCCCGCCGACGTTTCGGGGATACAGAATAACAGTGGCATCACCACCCCTCGCCTCGGAGAGATGTCCTCCCCCTCCGCCTGACTGGCCTCGTCGTTAATCCAATTCAGGAGATCATCTCTGCAACCCCTCCTGCGAGGTCACACCACCGAGACGGCGTTATCCCAGCAAGCCAGGTAAGGCTCGTTAAAAAATAATAATAAAATAAAAATAAAAATCTTATAAATCTATACCACCCATTTTCATCCCTTCCCTGCAAGACTCCCTGCTGTCACCGTGAAGCATGTTAGCTCAGTCTTTTGAACAGTAAACAGGTAGTTGCTTTAAATAGACCCCGGTGAGATTTGCTTCCCTTCGGTCTGTGTTGACTTGTACAGGGTTGTTATTGTAGTCGTTGCCTCAGATCATGTTTATCTGCCCSACAGCAGCTGCCTCTCAGCTCCCAAGCATGGAAATGCACTGAGCTCTAAAGGGTCAGTCAGTCAGTGCCCAGGGATTTCCATTAAAGCAGTCAGATTAGATTCAGATTTAAAGACAGAAAACATAGAGTCCTGCGGTCCCAGATGAAAATGTTCAACATGAAGCTATAATGTTTCTCCTTCCAGTGCTTCTATGTGATGCTTTTATCTCTCTGCAGTTCCTCTTCTTTGGAGTTGAGGGAAATAAAGCAACAAAACATTCAAGTATCAGTGAATGTCACTACTTCGGGGATAAATGGTTGATTTGAGGCCTCCTGTTAAGAACAAGCTTCTCTTCCTGTACTATTGATTCTCTCTCCAATTTCGTGTTTCTAGCTTCTTTTCAGCTAAAAACACATTTAGAGAATCCTTTCCTTTGCATTTCATGGAACATGTGAGCAATGCTTTAAATCTCTTTTCCTGCTCTTTTTTTCCCCTCTGAAAATAAAGCTCACTCCCAGGTAGGGCCACTCGGGGAATAAAAGCATCAAGCTGCTGTTCCCTGCCTTTTGCTGCTGCAGATTTGTTGAAAACAAGAGATAGAGATGTTTTCTGCGAAAGCCACAACACACTTCTCAGAGACCGGCAGCAGTCAGACGTTTCCCACAGGAGACTGGTGATGGACTGAAGCTGGAATGTCGTTATCTCTTTYCACCATTAAAAGCTGCTCCCGCACACAAAACACACCTATTAATGTTCATGGAAGCAAATGCAAACCTTTATATTTCTGCTTATAATTGAATGGTTGTGGGTGAAGACTTGACTGTTTTTAAACCGYCTTCAGTCATCTTTTTTTTGTTTTTATCGCCCACTCCCTAAGGTGAAGCAGCTATTTATGTTTCTGTCCATGTTATGCCCCTTTTCCACTGGTGCTACTTAGTGTAGTGTTGGAACGGTCGGTGTAGGTACGGGTCGGACTGGTTGGTTTTCCACTGATGTTCCAGTCCGGTTCCAATGGGTGTGTTTTGGGCGGTTGGTGGAGATGGTTTTTAGGTATTTTGAATAAAAATTAATGGGCAAAATGAGAGATGGAAACACATTTGATGAATAACTTTTGAAATTTTAAACATTTGCAAAAATTTAACCAGTCAGTGACGAACAGTGTTCTGACYTTACATTTTGGTGTCTGCTGGGGCCGGTTGGAACCACAATAAAGTAGGTACTAAAAAGAGTGCTGGTTCCATGGATCTGGCCTAATGGAAATAAATGGCTTGGAACCGTACCGAACCGTTCCGACACTACACTAAGTGGCACTAGTGGAAAAGGGGCATTTGTCTGTTACCAAAATACCTTGTGAACCACTGGATAGGTCTGTTTACCAAATATCTCATGACCCACTTGACAGAATTTAGTCAAATTCTTAGTAAGTACTCATTGGGCACATGCAAGAACATGTTCGTATTCTTATCCTAAATTTCTCTTACTTTTGTTCGTACAAAGGGTTCGTACGAACATGTCACGTCAGATTCAACAAACTC